TGCAACATCATAATGGGATTGTGAATGAAACTGGAGCAAGGACACAAGAGACTTGAATCTGTGGAATCAACGCTTTTGTACACTATGTCCACTAACATTTGAAAATATGAATGCAGACAAACAATTAAAATTTGATGGTAAATTTGTTTTTTTTTTTACATATTCACTGGTCCTGCTACATCACTGTTCAAAAGTTTGGGGTCAGTAAGAATGCTTAAGGACCCATTAAATGAAACAAAAACTGATTAAAAAAGAAATGAAACTCATAAAAAAAAAATCAAAAGTGACAGTAAAGACATTTATAATGTTACAAATGATTTCAACTATTTAAAATAAATGCTTTTCTTTTGACCTTTCTATTAATCAAAGAATCCTGAAAAAAATTGTAATAAAGCTTTTAACTTTAATAAGAAATATTACTTGAGCATCAAATCAGCATGTTAGAATGATTTCTTAAGGATCATGTGACACTTGTGAAGACAGGAGTAATGGCTGCTGAAAATGCAGCTTTGCTTTCACAGGAATAAATTACATTTTAAAATATGAAAAACAATGTACATTGTAATAATTCTTCACAATATTATACGGAATACATACATATAAATACATTTTATTTTGCAGCTATTTATTTTTATATTAATATGCTTTAATACATTTTTTAATAAATACATTTTAATTTCTTGGTAATAATTGGAAATTACATAGCTATAGTGCAATGTAACTCCATAATACACATTTTTGCTGGAGACAGTTTGTGTTGTAACGGAGTAATTTAACGCGTTATAATTTTCAAAATAGTAATTAGAGTATAGTTACAAGCCGAGGTGTCTATACGTTACTGCGGCGTTACGTTGCTGACAGAATGCAGTGTTTTATAATCTAGAGATTGTAAAAAGGATGTAGCACACGCACTGTCGAGTCAAGTGCCAGTGGATTAGAGACCTGCTCCCTCGAGACCCGACACAAGACAAGATGGGCGAGTGCTGGTGCGGGATGCAGGAGAATAAAATGATTCACGGGACTCCCGCAACATAGAAATATCTAAACATAAAATATCTAAAACAAATAAATTGTTATTCATCTATTGCACAAAAGCAACATGAACTAATACAAAATATAAACGATTAACAGGTGCAAGTGTATGCAGAGTTTCTATTTAGGCTATAACACGTGTTTGCAGTGTTGACCAATGCAGTACTGAAATTTGCGTGCTCACTAATCCTCATAACACACGAATTGTAGACATTATGAAAGATTCATTATGCATATATTTATTGTGTTATAATTACTGAGATTTGTGAGATTGCGATGAACTGAAATGTCTTTTAGAGATTATAATTGCAGCGCTCTTTGCTGGCATTCTGCCATGCCAAACCATGCACACTTTAGATAAAAATAACAGTGTTCTGTGAATGTTGTTGCTTTAATAACAAATATTTATCGGGAGCGTGTATTTCATAAATTTCATGGAGAAAAAAGTAACGTAACTAGTAATGTAACTAATTACTTTTGAAATAAAGTAATCAGAACA